CGCCACAATGCCTGGCTATTTTTTGGTTGCAGCCATCATTGTTGTTTTGGTGGGCCCGGGCTGGATTCAAACCTGCCACCTTAAATGTATGTGGCTGGTGCCTTAGTCACTTGAGCCACAGGCGCTGAGCCCAGACTCAGATTTTTAAATATTAAAAATATACTGAACATCTCTAAATGAAATTTAAAACTATTATATATCATGGAATTTCAGATCTAACGGGCTTTCTGAATTGTCCAAGTCTTCTGACCCTTTATGCTGGTTACATGACCATTTCACCTTGGTCATCCATCCAGGAATTTCTCCAGAGCCCCCTCAGGTGACTTAGGATCCCACCAATGAGATGCACTGGTGCAAAGTCTTAATTCAGAAGAGAATTACATGTGATAAGCTGTAAAGTTTCCACCTACTGGCACATGTATTGGCAGAGGTGGCACAGTTCTGCAGCTGCACCCAAGGCAGTGGCCTAATTATGCAGTGTCCTGATCATGCAGTGTCAGCAGCAACCTTGAAGGCTTGGCTCTGGGGTGAAGTCCTGGGAAAATGCTTGGAAGTTCAGCTTAGAATCTATTTTGTCAACCCAGCCAGTGATTTTTGAGAACTTTTATTACTCTTTAAAATATCTCTTTCTTTCTGTAAAATGTGCACACTGTAAATAAGTAAATAAATAAATAAAATATCCCTCTCTGTATAAACTTAGTCAAAGTGGAATCTGTTATTTGTGACTAAGAATCTGATCAATATTGTGGGAGAGCTTTTAAATAATCAGATGCTAACTCTATGACCTTCACCAACAGGATTAGTTCTACACATTGAGGGTACCCAGCGGTACTTGGAGATGATGGCTACACTCCTTCTCCATTAGTGTTGTGGAATTTTGGAAGCTAGCTGGAACTTTCATCAACTGGCAAAAACTTAAGGTCTTAGACTAAAAAGTACAAAGCCCTCCGGAGAGTACGCGCAGGAATTTACGTGTGATTTCCTTTCCCCTTGATTAGAGACTCGGTATTTTCACTAGATTTATGCCCATGGAACTAGTGGCATTTTTGGGGGGGAGGGGAGAGACAGGGTCTTGCTCTGTCACCCAGGCTGGGGGAGTGCTATGGTGCTATCATAGCTCACAGCAACCTTCTGGGCTCACACAGTCCTTCCACCTCTGCCTCCTGAGCAGCTGGGACTATAGGCTGTGCCACCACATCTGGCCGATTTTCTTATTTTTTTGTAGGGAGAGGATCTCACTATGTTGCCCAGGCTGGTCTCAAACTCTTGGCCTCCCAAAGTGCTGAGATTATAGGTGTGAGCAACCACATCTGGCCTTAAGATTTTTTTAAACTCAGAATTTTATATAGAAAGTCAACAGTGAATCAAGAGAGTGATTCTAGAGGCAAACAGCATAGTAAAACTTTTAACACAGGTGCTGATTCGTGGGTCAAGATTTATAAGTCAAATAATTATCTGACATATAACTGGTTCTCACATTGTGTTTTAACCAAAAAACACCAGCACAAGGACAGAAACCATTTTTTTTAGATTCATGGTGTAGGCCAGGCATAGGTGGCTTGTAGGTGGCTCACATCTGCAATCCTGGAGGATCACTAAAGTTGAGGTGGAGCGTCACTTGAGCCCAGGAGTCTGAGGTTACAGTGCACTATGATCGGGCGACTGCACTCCTGCCTGGGTGACAGAGCAAACCCTTGTCTCTAAAAATAAATTAATCAATCAAATTAAATTAATTCATGTTTTGATTTTTACTAACAAATACCTCGTTTTCTCAATCCAAAATCAAATCAATACACACAAAATATCTACTCTAGGCAGGATATAAAAAAGTAAATTATGTGCTCTTTGCCCTTGAAGATGCTATAATCTACTTGAAAAAATTAAGATGGGCAGGCACCTGTAGCTCAAAGGAGTAGGGCGCCAGCCCCATATGCTGGAGGTGGTGGATTCAAACCCAGCCCCGGCCAAAAACTGGAAAAAAAAAAATTAAGAAGAGCCTGGGTGTGGTGGATTACTTGAGGTCACAAGTTTGAGACCAGCTTGAGCAAAAGCTAGACCCCATCTCTACTAAAAATAGAAAAATGGAGGCAAGAGAATCTCTTGAGTCCAAATAGGAGGTTGCCATATGCTATGACACTACAGCAGTCTACCCAGGATAACAGCTTGAGACTCTGTCTCAAAAAAAAAAAAAAAAAAATTAAAAAGAGAGAGGCCAGGCTTGATAGCTCACGCCTGTTATCCCAGCACTCTGGGAAGCGAAGGTGGGTAGATTGCTTGAGCAATAGTGAAACCCCATCTCTAAAACCAATATGCAATCATTGTAGTGGGCAAGTATAGTCTCAGCTACTTGGGAGGCTGAGGCAAGAGAATTACTTGAGCCCAAGAATTTGAGGTTGCTGTGATATGTGACAGCATGGCACTCTACCGGAGGCAACAAAATGAGACTCTGTCTCAAAAAAAAAAAAAAAAAAAATTAAAAACAGA